CGATGAAGACTGATATGAGCTATAGTCTAAACTCTAAACTCCGAGTATCCCCCTCAATACCCCCTATACTAAGGGTTTATTGTTGAGGGTCTTAACTCCTAGCATCCCCCTTAAGAACCCCTATAGTAGTCCCCTACATAATCCCTTACAGAACCCACTTTAAGGAGTTGAGACTACAGCTCATGTGGATCTCCATGACGGATTTGTTTGCCCCCAACCCAAGAAGCACCCAAATCTCTGAGCCCCCAGAGCCAGCAGCCCGAAAGCCTCCCCAAAAACCCTAAAGCCAAACCCCTACACCCCTAAACTCTAAACCCTAAACCGTAACCCCTTAACCCCTAAACCCTAAAACCCTAAGCCCTAAACCCCCCAAAAAAACCTACGCCGAAAGCCTTCTTCTGGATTGCCCTGCCCAGGAGGATGGAGGCCCAGCCTAAGGCTGCCGCAATGACTGCTATTTGGGGGGAGGGGTTTAGGGTTTAGGGTTTAAGGTTGGTTTCCCAACATTTTGGGGGGCCCCCATAAGAAGGAATATAGTATGTTGGGGTCCGTATTGGGGTCCCCTATTTTAAGGAAACTCCTATTTATCTCTCTCAGAAATAATCCCCCTCTCCCTAATGCAAAACCCACCCACCCCCCTAATATTAGATGCTCTCACTGTGGTATTATAATATACTGGGATGTTTATAGGGGGGTGGGCAGAGTGTGGTATTGGGGTGATTTGAAAACTGCACAGAGTATGTGGTAGTGTTGGGATGAGAGTGTCATATAACAAGCGGAGCGTAGGGTATGGGGTTCAGAGACTGGAGGGGCATGATGCAGTCTAAGGTTTAGGGTTTAGAGTCTAGGGTCTACAGACTAGCTGCGTACATGCATGGGATGTATGATAATAACTGTTGACATTTGGCGCCCAAATGGACGATCCCTATACTCGCTCACCAATGTTTCCAGGAAGCCCGCACGCACTCACCCAGAGCCATAATGAAATCCATACCGCAAATGCAAAGCTTCCGTATCAGGAATTGCATGGAATTTGTCAGATGGGCTATGGTCTAAACTCCTTAAAGGGTGTTGTATAGTGGATTATATAGGAGAGTATTATAGAGGTTATTACGGGTGATACTAGAGGTTTAGACTATAGCTCAGATGTGTTGCATGTGGGAACCTTCATGGACACGAAAGTGGCCCACACAGCCCGCACTGCTTCAGCTACGCAAACAACTCCAAGGTCATGCAGGATGAGCTTCAAAAAATAATCTTCATGTAGTCATTGTGGAATATGCACCCCGAGGCCTGGTGTAACTCATCAGCGTGGAAGTGCAGACCCGCAATAGAGGCCGCACAAAAAAAAAACCGACAAACTTAGAAGGACTTAATACAGGCCCCGAATTCCCGAAGCGCTCGGATCCTCTTCTCCAGGATCAGGACTTCTTGTGCCAGCTGCTCAGCTGCTTGTCCCTCTGCTGCTGCTCAATACGCAGCCTGTCCTGCGAACAGAGTTTTGGCTTCAGTTTTCTGGGTGATCTCTTGGCAGTGGGAAAAATGCGCCAAAAGGCAACTAGGATAACGTGCACTGCTACATGCCAGATTTTGACAGAAATACTGCTCGAATACACCCGTGCGGACCCCACAACTCGAAGAAGTACCAGAGGGCAAGGCCCAAGGTCAAGAGCTCAAGCCCATCTGCAGGTGGACATTGCAGGCGTGTGGCCAGAAAACGCGAAACCAATAGTCAAGCCAAAACTACTTCTGGTTGGGAAAGGATGTACTGTAGTAACTTAGGAAAGACAAGAGGATACTCGCAAAGGTTACAAAGACTACCACTGTGGTCTCTGCTGATTTGCTGCGTTTCAGGTGCCCGCGGATGTGAGGGTGGTAAACTGCTTCCACTAGCGCATCTACATGGCTTAAAGCCTGTGGCTGAGGCCAGAGACCGAAGGGATTCGGGAATCATTGGTACTTCCGAAAGCTTTCATTGGGAACATCGAGACAACCATAGGCAACCTACGTGGAAAATGGCTGCTAGAGGTATACTACATGACGGCTTCTCAAACGTCGGAGGCCAACTGAGGGACCAGGGATCTAAATGACAGCAAGTGCACCCAAGTTTTGGGCACTTAGCGTCGATGGCTTTAGACAAATGTTGCTATTTCACTGGACAGATGTTGCTTGTATGGTAGTTGTTCTTTCTCCTTGTATTTTGCGCTGTCTAGAGGAATGCTTGCGCTTCGCCCTTGCGCGGATCTTGTGCGAGCTTGCGCTAGCAGGATGTTTTCAATGTCAGCCAACTTAACCTGATCTCATTACAAGCCCTTAAGCGGGACTTTGCGTCGCCCTTGCGCGAGCTTGCGCGAGCTTGCGCGGACCCTAGTTTACGGCATGCATTTTACACCCCGCAAAATTTCTTTTCCCCAAAGTATCACAGGAAGGACGCCCAAGAAGAGCGGCCCCCGTATGTAGCCCCAGATTTGATGTACGCTCGCTGAGCATGACTGTCCTGCCACAGCAAGTGTCCAGTCATGAAGCTGGTTCGGTGGCTCTGCTCCTTGCCTTGAGAACTGGCGGCTGCTATTGAGGTCCCCTGTTAACAAGACCTGCAAAAACACGCATGTGTCCAAAAGGAGCTACTGCTCAGATGCACATAGGAATTTCAATAGCGCAAGAGGAGCCTTCATTGCGGAGATGTAGGGGGTAGTGAAACAACTGATTGGAGCATCGAGATCTAGAAAGCTTGAATTTATTCTAGATTCTGGAAAGTGAATATCTAAATTTAGATTGGCGTTTGTTGGCATCGCGCAGTTCGGGAAATGAAGCCCCCTCAACACGAGCACAGTCTGAGAAGGAATGTCCTCTTGCTAGACCGAGGATGTGTATTGCTAGGGGAGGCTATTGGTCAATTACGTAAAGCTCCATGCACCGTGCTTCAAGGCTGCAGGTTTAGCCGTGCTTTGCTCCAGCAGCCAGCTTACATCCGTCAGGGTTTGTCTAGCAATCATCAATAAACAGTTTGACGCTTGCCCTGAACATCCGCAAGTGGCCACCGATGGCCCCTAAAGTAGTTCAGCATCTCCTACTAGTGCAGACGGTCTAGGCCCCCAGCCAATCACCACCTTCCGGTACAAGCCGCCAACAGGCTCCACCACCATGGCGCTCAGCAGGCTGAGTCTGCGCTACGAAACAACATGTTGCCAAAGGGCCAGGTGGTGCTTGATGTTTCTCATTTGGTAATGAGTACCAAATCCTGACTTGTTCCAGCACATCGTTTCTTTGCAGCGGTAGCTGCATGAACTTCACCGCTCATAGTTTTGCTCTGCTTGTGCAGAGCCAGGTGTATCAGCTGCGCTATGTCGGCGCCACAAACCCAACAACCGCGCATCTAAACAGTTGCATGTCTAGAGTTGGGCTCGAACACATTCCCAAACTCCCAATCTTGTGCGTGCTTGCGCGTCCTTTGCCGTCAAAGCTGGTTTCTGTCATGGGGCTCTCTCAGACACAAGAGCTTTGCTTTCAAAATGGAAAACTCGGTACATGTCATTGTGCTTGCCCCTCACCATTTCCACGCGCTGTTGGTATTGTCCTTCCAGTTGTTGGGCTTCCATGTTCCGTAGGAATCAGTTTTCCGCGACTTGTCGTCATTGACCTCGTCACTCCACTTGGAAGGCCAGCGCCCGTGGTTTCCTGGAACATTCTGGCGCTGCTGGATACTGCGATGGCAGGCTGGCACCGGTGCAGGTTTGCGCCTGGGGCGCCCGAGCTCCGCAGCAAGTTCCTCGAGGAACGGCTCCATTCTGTAGTCGATGGTGTCAGCTGGCAAGTCTAGGGACCTGAGCAGCACCTCACGAGCAAAGCTAATCTTACCATTGCCGTAGACCATCTTGGTCTTGGCTTCATCGGAATGACTTTGATCCAATAGTGGGTGAGACTCTTCATGCACTGTTGGCATGGGCGAATTTGATGCACTGGTACTTGTCGCTGCTCCGCGGAGCTGTCTGTTGTCTGAAGCTGCCAGTGCTGTAGCTGATGCCAGGTTCTGTTTTGCTCGACGGCCCAGGCTGCGTTTCGCCTGTGCCTTGAGCTTCATGAGCTGCTCGCGCAACGCCATCAACTTCTCATCCTGCACATCGCTTGCCTTCCGCAGCTCATCGAGTTGCTGGCGCTGCTCCTGCTGCTTCCGCGAGCAGGTTACGACAACCTCCTTTATTCCATCCATGCACTCTGCGATGCGCGTTGGCGCATCGCTGGCTAAAGCCTGTGCCCAACATTGTGAAGATGCTTTGAGCCAGGGCTGCATCAAGCGTGGCTTTGCCAAGGAGCACACATGACCTGAAAGCACCAAAGCCTGCCATAGCAAACCAAACTGATCCAGAGACCGGGCCAATTCTCTGGAAACATGGCCGAGGTGACCCACCCACCCGCCGCAGTTGCACATCAGTTCGCGCGCTTCATGCGCATTGATTCGCGCAGGAGAGTGGCACCCAAAGTGAGGCCTGCACCGCAAGGCAAATCAGGCCAACCTTTGCAACCATGATATCCTCCCCTGGTTCCAGCTGCTTGTGTTTGAGCGGCAGTTGAAAGCTTTCTCGCTGCTTCAGCTTCGATTTCTAGACCATCGTGTCAATTCTGATGCTGTTTGCTCCTACACCACATTTCACTACTTCCAGTCAACCGGCATATGACTTTGCACCATCTTCATATATGTCTTCAAATACGTCGGATCATGTCATTGTGACAGAGTATCGCTAGAGGTCTACCCTAACGGCGAGCTGCTTGGAGAGCTGTTTGCATGGGCAACTGGCAGACGCGTGCTTTTCACCGAATGCTGACTTGTCCGCACCAAGTGCGCGAATGACTGTCAGCAATGCCAGTGCCACAGCTCCAGCAGCCCAAGCTTTCGGAGGAACTGTTGCACAAGAGTTCTAAAAGACTCACGACTAAATCAAGACCTACAGCTGGCGGCAGTAGTAGCCGTAGCCAGCACATCCAATGACAAGTCGCCCAGCTCAGACGACAATGCTATCCTGGCTCGCGCTGCCCGAGATGCAGACCTCATAGCACTGGCGGACTCAGACGACAATGCTATCCTGGCTCGCGCTGCCCGAGATGCAGAGCTCATCGCAGTGGCGGACTTAGACGACCATGCTTTCCGTCCCCAAACGGTCGCTGCAAATCTGGCATTGCCGACGGGCCAAAAGCTGCTAATCACATGTCTGATCCACATTTACAAGGCAACATCTATGAGGTCAAACTGGCACCCACTCAGACGCAGGCAGGTGTGCCACCCATGGAGACGCACTGCATGGGAACGCCCACCGGGTCCTCGCACAGAGAAGCTCCACATAATTGCCAGCCTCGAAAAGCTGCCGGAGACATCAAAGCTTGCAAATAATCTTTCTTTCTGTCACTCTCTCTCTCTCTCTCCCTCCCTCTCTCTCCCTGTGTGTTTGTGCATATATATATATATACACGTATCAAATATATTCGCTACCCCCTGGCGGAACCCGTATTTGGAAAAATTTCTTGGGTATGGAATAATACACTGCCTGCAGTTCAAGGAAAGCATCATTTGAAGCAGCGAACTGACAACTCCATTTTGTTTAGCTTAGATGTTTTCTCTCTTCTCCTCATTGCGGAGACAAGACAAAGCCACGGTCCATCCCCATCATGTTCCATGCTTTTGCTAGCGCATGGATTACCGTCCCACGTTGTGCCACATGTTGCTGGCGCAGAATTTGGGAGGCTGTGACATCCCCTCGTCAATGTTTGCGAGCATCCCACGAACTGCGCATTCATACCCCAGCCATTTTGTGGCTTTCGAGATCATCCGATCACCCGAGCATCCATGTCAAGAGCTATGCGTGCATGCTGCGCTGTAAAAAAAAGGGGGTCACAGGACGGCATCTAAAAAAAACGACAAGCAGGCGTATCTGTTTCTGCACTTGACAAATGTTTTTTCGTGTTCCTCCGTAGATAGCATGCTTACTCTGAGAAGGAAGGCTTGCAATTCTGCCCTTGCATGTGTGGAAGCATCTGGTCACTCAGGCTCCGGGGGAGGAGGTCAGCTTGGTGCACTGTGGGGTTGTTGCTGGGCTCTTTACATAGGGTCGTCGAAAGCACCGTGTTAGTACCTTACAGTTTCCAGAGGCGAGGGCAGAGCATGGGCGGTGACTTGTTCACAAAAGCACCTGAAGAAATCCAGCAAGTGAGAAGACAACACAGACCGCCATGTCCGGAGATGCCGAAATAACGAGGCCCGGCGAAAACGTGCCTTCTTGGCCTCAAGAACCTCCAAGTGCTGTAAATACCAAGCAATTAAGTGCCTCGCACATCCTTTTTCATCTGATTTATCTTTGCGCCAGAAATAGTGCTAAACCCCAATGTTTAGCAACATTATAAACACGGAATATGTTTTCTAGGCCTCTCGAAGCCCATGTATTGAGCCGAAACTAACGCAAGACTAGCCGTTCGCACGAATCGCAGGAAGTAAACCATGCAGCGGGATGTTTTTTTCATTACATGGAAGATAAAGTTTAAGCTCCGATTAATTCTGCTGAAATTGTATTATAAAAAGATGAAAAACAGCAGCTGCAAGGATCTTGAACTTTCACTTCCCTCAAGTCACCTGGGCTTCTCTTGTATCTGCATTGCCGAGAAGAGAGAAGGCCATTCCTAAGAATAGAGGTTTGGTTCTGGGTGTATTCCGCAACTTCGAGATTTAAAGAGGCTTGCGTCAGACGTTGTTTACACATGATGTTCCATTTATGAAGCAATTTCTATGGCGATCCGTCCTTCTCAGGCTAGATCGGCATATATGATGTAGAGTGTTATGAATATGGGCTATATAGGCTGCTCGCGGGCACCTCGTAAAGAACTTATATGGACCGCATAAGAACTACATACCGTCGATGGAGTTACCCCATATGGAATGACTGATTACTTCACGCCAAGAAGTTTTCTTGTGAGCCCTGATGGGGAAATTTTATTTGGGATCCATACAAGACAGACTTTCTAAATTCATATCAACCTTTCAATAAGAGATTTACTCAGAGTTCCTACCAACAAAATGTGTAGGAACCCTCTTTAATGAACGTATTGATGCTACCTAGTGCTTTGGGATTCAGATTTCATTCAAATCTTATTTAAAGGTGTTCTCAATACCCATCTACGAGTTCATACTTGAAGTCTCAAGGTGCTGTCATTTTCCGCGCCCAACATGCATGACAAAAATTAATCCCAAAACTCACAGTTCTCGAATTTGCAGTCCACATGGCTTGGAATGCTGGAGTTTCAGAACTTGGGAGTTTCAGAATTTGGGAAGCTGGAAATACATGAGTCCAACAATTTGGGAATTTTGGATCTTCGGAATTTGGGTTCTTTGTAAGTTCGAATTATCAACAGACAAATTCTGGAATTTTGGAACTTTGGAATTTGACACGGATCTCTCCTTGTTGCATGTCCAGGTACCTGATCAGATTGGGTTCCAGGCGGGTACCATATACCATATAAACATATTGTGCTATACTCTGAACTCAAGTAAAGCGGAGATTACGTGAGACGCGAACAAAAGAAGACAAGTAGGCTTTCGGAGTTTGTTGTGCTTACAGTCGTCGTAGGCTTTCGGAGTTTGTTGTGCTTACAGTCGTCAGGAACGTCACGAGCGTAGTAATTCCCCTTACTAGAATATTCAGACAGGCTTTGCCACAGGTTTGTCCAAGTTTGAGAGTTTAGGTTTAGGGTTTAGGGATTTGGGTTTAGGAATTAGGGTTTAGGGCTGAGCTTAGGGTTTAGGTTTTGACCTTAGGGTTTAGGGTTTTTGGAAGTTTGAATGTTTCAGAGATTTGTTTTCGGAGCTTGCTGTGCTTCGTGTCTTCACGAACCTCAGGAACCTGGTCATCCCCCTTACTAATACTCGGACAAGCTTTCTCACAGGTTTTTTTCTAAGCTTGTGAGATTTGTTTTCGGAGCTTGTACGTGAATCGAAGATCGCTGATGGACCGACACGACGCGGAGCGAGACTTTGCGAAACAGAAGCACGAAAGAGAGAGAAAAAAGAGGAAAGCTGTATCGAGCGCAGGAGATATACCGGATGAACATCGCACACGCGCAGATCGACCACGAGAAACATCCGATGAACGAAGATCAAGTACGGGACGGATTCGGGACAGTACTACCCGAGAAAGAGCTATCTAGAAAAAGAACAAGAATCAAAAAGCTGAAAACATTAAAACATGAAAACATGATTCAAACAAACAGAAAGAAGAAAAGAAAACAATAAAACATAGAAAATGGAAAGCAAAAAATATGTTACATAGAGGAGTATTATAGGGGTGATTGAGCGGGATACTAGGAATTTAGCGTATAGCTCATACTTATGCATTGTCCTGCATAGTAATTGCCAAAACTGAATGACTGATTTTGCCTAGGATTGCCTAGGCTTGAAGACGAAGCGGAGAAAGAGCCCCGAAAAATGGCCCCCTGCACCTTCCCAAAAACATGTGACATTACAGTATTCGGGGTAGGCAGTTTTGTAGTTTCCTCCTCCTTACGCTGCAGTCTTTAGCCGGATGGCATGGGCTGCAAGGCGTCCCGAATGGATCCTAAACGTGCTGGCAGTTAGCGGGGAAGAAGGGCATCTGTTATAGATTACATAGGGATGATTTGGGGATTATGTGCCCTGATTCCCTGTTACGCACCAGTAAGTAAACCAACTGGGCAGTTCGCGAATCGGGGGCTTGTCACCCCAAGGACTCTGCACGGGTCATTTGCATACTCCGACAATCACTTCAAGCTTTAAGCTACATTTTGTACTGCAGGATACCAGGGCAAAATTATGCAACGATACCTCCCTAAAAGCCCATCTGTTTGCGAATCGCCCAACTGGTGGCAACCAGCAACTTTCCTAGCAACTGCGCAGTCTCGTCCATATGGACACTGCAGGCGCTACGTGTGCAGGGCTCCTGGGAGGGTTGCCACTACCACGTCCTCTTGGAAGAAGACTGAGTCTGGGTCCCCTCCCCAAGCGCCTTCAAGACTTGAGGCTTAAAAACCAAAGCTCTTGGCTACAGCTCTGATGTGCTAAACTTGCGCTCCGGTGGCACTCCGTGCCGGACCCTGTTGGGTGCGGGGCGTAAGTTGCACTCAGCTTGTAGCAACGCAGCAAACATGGATCTCTCCACAAATGAAGGCGCCCATCTTGGGGTCCTTCTGGCCCCTTGTCTTGGGTGTGCCTGGTTTTGGGATGCCCTTCATTCTTGGAGACTACCACATTTTCACAAAACCGACACAGTTCGAAGAGTCCAGGTGCCGGAGCGCCTGTCTTACCTACTGGATCCTCAGAGGAAAGCCATTTGGATAATTAGAACTCGACATGTTGACACATAACATTGCATTCGTGTTATCTGTAGTGCGGACTACAAGGTAAGACCTGGCTTTAATTCACATGTTTCACTACCCGGTACTGCAGAGCAAATGGTACTCCTACTTTTGAGAGAAACCCCCAATATAACCCCAATATACCCCTAATATAACCTTAATATAACCCCAATATAACCCTAACATGACCCCGATGGGTTAATGTAAGGAATGGTGGCAACTGGTAGCTCCTGACAACAACGCAGAACACCGCGCCCTCACAGGATCCGATCATCCTGGACTGCAATGAGCTAGAAACTGTGGTGACTCAAGGTGGGCCCTGGGTTTAGGGTTTAGGATTGAGGGTTTTGGGCTTAGGATTTAGGGTTTAGGAATTCAAAATAGGGCCTAGAGTGGGTACTGTAACAGTCTATATTGGGCGTCATCTTAAGCGCTATGTATAATTACATTCTTCTTAATGTTATCCAAAGTGGGGGTACTGATTCTCAGATTATCCAATAACGGAGAATCGAACAGAAAACAAAAATGGAAAACCACATGGAAACTGCGTTGAAATAGTATCCTCTGGAAAATTACTTAACAGTCTGGGACTATGCATGTTGGAGGATTTGCACACTGTCCTTTACAGTGTGCGTCTACTTATTTTGTCTCTCGGGGCTTTGGGTCTGCATGGGTATATCATGGTATGTTATGGTATACTATGGTATATCATAGTTTATTACAGAATATTATGGTACATAATAGAATATTGTATTTGATAGTATTATAGTACAATAGGGTATATTATAGTTATATTATAGTTGAGGGCAGTCTGACGACAGCTAGTACATGGGAGTTTCCTCAAATTAGGGTACCATTTTGAGCGTCCCTATAATCCCCGTGTTTTGGGAAACTACGCTGCGGGCAATCTGCATCACACTGGCATTCCTCAATATCAGGCCCCCATA